AGGCATCCAAGCGGGACCCCCACCCTGAAGGGGGTGTGACCAGCTGCAAACAGCCATCATCCCCTCATCCAGGCTGGCCAGGCATCCAAGCGGGACCCCCACCCTGAAGGGGGTGTGACCAGCTGCAAACAGCCATCATCCCCTCATCCAGGCTGGCCAGGCATCCAAGCGGGACCCCCACCCTGAAGGGGGTGTGACCAGCTGCAAACAGCCATCATCCCCTCATCCAGGCTGGCCAGGCATCCAAGCGGGACCCCCACCCTGAAGGGGGTGTGACCAGCTGCAAACAGCCATCATCCCCTCATCCAGGCTGGCCAGGCATCCAAGCGGGACCCCCACCCTGAAGGGGGTGTGACCAGCTGCAAACAGCCATCATCCCCTCATCCAGGCTGGCCAGGCATCCAAGCGGGACCCCCACCCTGAAGGGGGTGTGACCAGCTGCAAACAGCCATCATCCCCTCATCCAGGCTGGCCAGGCATCCAAGCGGGACCCCCACCCTGAAGGGGGTGTGACCAGCTGCAAACAGCCATCATCCCCTCATCCAGGCTGGCCAGGCATCCAAGCGGGACCCCCACCCTGAAGGGGGTGTGACCAGCTGCAAACAGCCATCATCCCCTCATCCAGGCTGGCCAGGCATCCAAGCGGGACCCCCACCCTGAAGGGGGTGTGACCAGCTGCAAACAGCCATCATCCCCTCATCCAGGCTGGCCAGGCATCCAAGCGGGACCCCCACCCTGATCCAGGACACCCTTCAGGGCAAACCAGCTGGCCCCCACCTGTGCATGAATTCGTGCACCGGGCCTCTAGTAATACATAAAAGAAAATTCAGAGGCTTATTGTGCAGGTCACTTTTTCATGGTGATGTTGAGTGTTTATTCTCTAACTAGAGGCCCGGTGCACGAATTCATGCACAGGTGGGGTCCCTTGGGGTAACCTGCAGGGATTGGACCCCAGCTTGTGCCCCCAGCCTTGCAGCCCTGCAGCCCTGCCTGGCACCCTGCCATCGCCTGGTGCTGCCCCCTCACCTGCTCCACCATCCCGCCTGTGGGACAATTGATCGGGGCCAGGCCTTCCCCCCTCTCCCCCCTCCCCCGGCTCCCTCAGTGCCTGGAAGCCGGGTGGCGGCCCTGCCACCTGCTGGTCACCATCTGCAGGGTGATTGGTGGGGCGATCAGGCCCCCACTCACACCTGCCTTGGCCTGGTCCCCACTCAAACCCACCTTGGCCTGGTGCCGCCTGCTCACCTGCTCCACCATCCCACCGCGGTTCTGCTCTCATCAGGGCCCATCAGGGCTGGCAGCACCTCCACTGCCACCCGCTGCCAGCGCTGTTTCACCAACGCCCACCATGTTCCTTGCTGCACCCTGGTGGTCAGCGCACATCATAGCGAGCAGTTGAACTCCTGGTCAAACAATTTGCATATTAGGCTTTTATTATATAGGATGTCATAGGTAGTATATACAAATATGGCTTTTAAAGGGGGAAGGAATCATTTGTTTCTCTGCTACTCTTACCTGTTGTGGTTTAGTTTCCAACTTTCAATTCACCTGTTTTAGTTTGTATTCTGCATGTAGAAGTGAGAATTATTACTTGTTAAGAAAGAGATAAATGTATTATGGTAGGTAAATGGTAGATTTTGTAATTGATATTATTGTCTGTTTACTTGAAAATATTTGCTTTTCATGAAAGTTTGTATCAATACTTGCAGGTGGTAAGAAATCGATAGTGTGATTAAAAACAAGAGATACCCCATCCATCTTCAGGAACAACCTCTTTTAATCATTCTTGGTTAGTTCTTATTCTACTTCCCTGTATTATTACTAAAAATTATGGAGGTAACTCTATATAATGTGCTTATACATTGGTTTCCAAAATTTATCACCTTAAGATAATTTCATTGATTCTAATATAAAAGATGAGGATTTAGTTAATTTACATTGCCTTCTTTCTCCCTCTTCTCGATTCTCAATATTTATATTTTAGTTTATAGTTATGTTATTTTTTTGGCACTTCTATTGGTTTCCATTGTGGGATTTGAAGATCAGAATTATTTTCACAAGTCTTCCTAAAACTAAGTCTTAGTGAGTCCACAAAGAACCCCCACACTTCTCCCAAAGCTTCTAAATAGCGATTCCTTATCTAAAAGTGGCTGCCAGTTTTATCTGGAAAGGCCCACAAACCAAGCATCAGTAGAATAGGGATACTTTTGGTGTCTTGTTGCCTGGAGTAAGGCTGGTGGGTTAGGAAACTACTTTCTTTGTACCTTTGGCCAGATCTGATCTCACGCTTGATAAGAGCTGTGAGCCCCCAACCAGCCTCAGTGGCTTGTTTGCCTGGATAGGCTTCTCCAGAACTCAGGAGAAGCCAAGATGCTTGAGTTTCCACCTAATCTTGCCGAGGCTTTATCCAGAACATGCATTTGTTGTGTTTTCTCTCAAGGAAGATCTCTAACTGGATCTCATCCCTTTTATTTTTATTGAAAGTTATGTCAGTGTGTGTGTGTGTGTGTGTGTGTGTGTGTGTGTGTGTGTGTAATCAAAAGTCGGATGCACATCTATATATATAAAACCTAAGCGACCATTGCAACCGAACAGATGACCGAAAGGCTGCGTGGGGCAACCAGGCTGGCGGAGGCGACCGGGCCAGCAGAGGAGGGCAAAGGGGCGACCAGGTTGTCAGAGGGGGATGGTGAGGGGCGACCAGGCCAGCAAGGGGGGGCAGTTGGGGGCTACTAGGCGCCAGCAGGGGGCATTTGGGGGTGACCTGGCCAGCAGGGGGGCAGTTAGGGGCGATCAGGCAGGCAGGCAGGTGAGCAGTTAGGAGTCAGTGGTCCCAGATTGTGAGAGGGATGTCCGACTGTCGGTTTAGGCCCATACTGGTTGGGCCTAAACCAGCAGTCGGACATCCCCTGAGGGGTCCCGGATTGGAGAGGGTGCAGGACCCCCTCCCCACCATGCACGAATTTCATGCACCGGGCCTCTAGAGGATGATAAATTACCAGATTTTTGGTTTTGTTTTTTAGTTATAATTTCTAGTCTCTGATATTATATGCATGGAGCCTTTTGTTGGGTGCTTTTGCAAAACTGATGCTGATAATCACAACATGAAGCAAGTCTTCCCAGTATATGGGCATGTTTCCTGTATAGATTACCAAGTTGACTCTAGTAAAAACAAAAAAAGAAAAAAGATACCACTCTAAAGCCAGACAGTAAACAGAGGATTTCAACCAATCATAGTCCATCATGCCACCTTTATAACATGGAATTAAACAATAGAAGCTGCCAGAAGCCTGATGACTTATATTTGAAATTCACAGAGCACCTCACTATCCATCCTCCTTCAAACCAGCCACATACTCAGTGTGGCATTGTAACTCCCTAAATTAATGAGCTATTCCAAAGAATTATTGCTGATGTTGATAGCAATTCCAAATAGAAAAGCTAGCTTGTACCTTGGAGGAAAACCGTTAGTAATGGACAGTTTCATCATAATGGTGAAGACAATGTGTTTTGCTCTCTTCAGCCCACTGTTATTATAAATAAGTATTCTCCTCATAAGTTCCTAGGCCGATAGGAATGTAAAGGTTAAGCAGACGATTTCCCCTATCTGAGGGGGCAATCTGGGGGAACCCAATAATTATGTTGTTTTGTGATGGAGATGCTCTGAAGTTGTGTCTGTTGCTAATACATTTTGCATTAAAATCTAAGTTTGGATAGCAAAAAGAAAAAAAATAATTATTTTCCCTTAGAAAAGCCTGGTCCATTGCCTTATGGTATCTAGCATTGGTGATGGGAAGTCATAAGTAAGTTTGAGCTTCATTTCTTTGTAGGTGACTTTGAGGTGATCTTCTGGGAACGTTTAGAATATTCCACTTGTCTAGATGTTTGAAATTCAATATGGTATAACTAGGTTTAGATTTGTTTTTATTCATTGGGATGTGCACTCTGGTTCTCTTCAATCTGATGACATGGATTCTTCTATAGTTCTGGAAAATTTTCTTTGGCTATTTCTTTGATCACTTCTTTTTTCTATTTTCTCTGCTTCTCTGTTTGCATTTACATTGGTCATAGGTTGTACCTCAATGACACTTATGGAATATCTTCTTTTTCTGTTGGGCATTGTGACACTTTAGAAGTCAATAGGAGCCATGAATGCCTGGACAGTGCGTGCCCTTGAGAATTGCATCAATGCCTAAGCTTTTGTACAGAATCAGGTTCAAGAAAACTCATGTTCTTTTTAAAGTGTGAAACCCAGAAGGGAAATGCTAAATGAACAGGCTTTATTTATAAGTTCTCTATTGCTGCTTACCTTTTATAAGTTATCTATTGCTGCTTAACTTTTACTTATTCACTTATATTATTACTCACTGTTTATCTTTTACAAAAGAACTTTTAGTTGCCTTTAAATCTTTCTGGTAAGACCAGGTAGAATGTTTTTACTTTAGCAGCACTACTGAGCTAAAATTTAGGTTGGTTATCTAAATAATTCAACCATGGTCTCTGAGGGAAAAATATTTTGTACATCACTTATTATTTTATTGCAAGCAATAAAAACCTATTCTTCCTTAAACAGACAAACAAACAAACACTTTATTGTCAGAATAAAAGGAAGACATGAACAATCAAATCTCCAGAAGACCAAGTAGTAGGACAGGTTTGCTAATTTCTGTGGTAGGAATAAATAGGCAGTTTCTCTTTAGAATGCTGACCTCACAATGATTCTCCTCTAAACTATTTGTTAATTGTTACATTCTGTTTAAGATTCAAGCTTCAAGGAGAGAAACTATTGGTTTAGCTTGATTCACAAGTTCACTTTTTGGGAAAAGATGGGTCTACAATTAACAACTCACAATGAGCACTAAGAATGGTGAAACAGTACTTCCCCAAGGAAAAACAGAACTTTATAATAAAAAAATGGACAAAAACAGCAAGTGTCCACTCTGTTTTGTGCCGATGAGCCAATGATCAATTCTAACCCACTGGTTTCTTTCTCATGCTAGTGCTGCCGCCTGTATTGGTGCCAAGACACAGCGAATATAACCCCCAGCTGAGCCTTCTGGCCAAGTTCCGCAGTGCCTCCCTCCACAGTGAGCCACTCATGCCGCACAACGCCACCTATCCTGACTCTTTCCAGCAGCCTCCATGCTCTGCATTCCCTCCCTCATCAGGGCAAGCATTCTCACAGTCCCTGTGCACAGCCAGCTACCCTCACTCCCCAGGAAGCCCTTCAGAGCCAGAAAGCCCCTATCAACACTCAGGTCAGTAAAAGCTGCCGGTCTATGTGGTATACAATTCAACACATTTATGGTGTGAGCATCATAGTTTTTAATCACTGTAACTCATGTTCATGTAGAGTTTTACAGTTCACATGGCAATCTCTTGTGTGCTCTTAGACCCTGCCCAGCCTCTAAGATGATCAGTACTATATCCATTTTGGAGCAGTTATCCTGGAGCTACAACATGCCTTTGCTCTGGTTTTTGGTCCTAATCCTTTGGAAGCTCTCAGAAATTAAATGGACTTGAACAGCATCCTTTGGAATTTTGAGGTGTTTTGTTTGTTTGTTCGTTTTGCTTTTGTTTTCTAAAGCCAGTAGCAATAAGCTTATAAAGACTTCTCTAAGCTGATCAGAAAGAGCTGGCCAGAGGGCAGGCAGTATGAGTGCCTCTTTCAACAATCAAAGGGAGTCTCCCCTACAAAAGATGTGTAGGGCAGAGCGAGGCCCCAGTTCCAGGCAGTGCATTCTCCCTTTTTGCTATGGGAAGTAAGCACAGCATCTGAAGCACTGACCTAGTCAATTGATATTTGCTGAATTTAAAAAACATGTAGAAGGGAGAGGGAGAACCAAACCCATTGTGATAATTGCATGTACTATCACACCTATAAAGTAGGTTTAAGTTAGACAATGAAAAAAAGATTTTATGTACCTCAAGAGTGTGAGAAAATATCCTGAGCTAACAAGTTCCTATAGGCACACATAAATGCATTTGGTGCCAGATGTTGTGATCTGCCTCATTCATTTCTTCATATATTCCTTTATTTAACAGATATTTATGGAACTCATACTATATGCAAGCATTGCCTTCGGGTGCCAAAAGTAAAATTAAAAGATTAATAACAATTATCCCCGTCCTCAAAAAATTCATAAAATGTGGGAAGGTAAAGAAGTTGCCTCTTCCCCTTAGAGTTATTCCTTTCTTCCTTTTACTCCCTCAAGCAGTACACCTACTATTTTACATATGCATCTACCATTTAAATTCATCACATCTACTACTTGTACATCTATTAAATGTACATAAATTTTTGTGTGTCAGTCATTTTATCTTTTATACTAGAGGCCCGGTGCACAAAAATTTGTGC